TCGACCATGTTGCGAAAACAAGGTCAAACAACCTCCAAACGTATTTTTGCTATAACAACCGATTACATTACTTATTCTTTGTATATATATATATAGAGAGTTTCGAGACCACCAGTAAATCAGTTATATGATTTGCTAATCTTGAGGATTCGAAATTCACAAATTGGGTTAATTGTGAAGTAAACTTTGCGAAAACAATTACAGTCCCACCTTTCATGAGGCAATATTTTTTTTAATTGTTGTAAAACTCAGACAAGCTGACTCGTCGAGTTGCCTACAGCACCAGTTTTATAACAAGAGATTCCAATCGATTGGCGTCAGGCTTGCTCGAGTCTCAAAACGGTCCCTGCAGTGCTACTCATTCATCAACCCAGCCTCAAAGACAGCTAACCAGAAGCGTGTTGGCTAATCAAGAAATTCGCGAATCGACTGCTGGCCAAGCAACTGATCCCACCTCAATTCTCCATCCAGTTCAGCTACACGACAATTTGCATATGGCCTATCAAGCTCGAGCATATCCTATCCCTCAACAGTCTTTTCAGTGCCAACAACAACACCAACAACACCAATTTGAACAACAGACGCAATCGTACACAACAGCCGGAAATATACGATTGGTCTATCCAGTCAGTACGCCCAACACCATCGCCCTTTTCCAGCCGATTGAAACCAATTTGTCCGGCGGACACCTTGTTTCCACAGCCAAAAATGATCTCTTTTACAATCAACAACAAATGAATGCCAGCTTTTCGGGAGAACCTGTGACGACAAATCTGCCTGGACCATTGGGATTGCCTCCACTCCATCTAATGCCTACAGTTGGGGTTGTTCCTTCCTATCCTTCCACCTTCTATTCCTTCCCAATCTACCCCTCTTCACTGCTCCAAGTACAGCCTAATCAGCAGGCACTCCTCCCCAGACCGCCTGTTTTCCTGTATCAACAAGCCAGACAACGGCCACAACTACCTCAAGCCCCCACAGCACCGCTACTACCACCACCGCCACCGCCACCACAACCGCCAGCCCAGCAACCAATAATTCTACAGGCACCTGTAAAAATGCCAGGCCCAGCGCCAGCTCCACTGCTACATGTACCGCAGCCATTCCAGGCACAGTCAAGAGGTGACCCTAGGTCTGTTGTCCTATCCACGCAACCATTCAGACCTCAAATTCGGCTGCTACAGCCCAGATATTTGAACGACTTGGGTGCGCAATATGGCAGTTCTGATGGAAACTGCGGTGGTGTTGGCAACACTTTGACGAGCCCAGGACAGTTTGTATATGCACAAAACAGGGTACACTTTCAAATGGGTCGCAAGACTCGTCTACGCAAGACGCACTCGTCGTCAACCCATGCTCTGCCAGCCCAAAGAGCCAATCTTCTGCCATCCTCCTTATTGAAGCAGTGCCAAAGTCATACAGAACAGTTCAGTCAATATCCCCTCCAATCGGCAGGTTCGATGATGATCACACCAACCCTGCAGCCGATTCCAGGACGCCTAGAGCCAGGTTCAAGTTCTCCTGAAACCCTGTCGACTCAATCCGCCAGCACAGACCAATGGTTCCACCAGTTCCAGTGCCCAAAGTTTGCCCCCGGTCTTTCGGGTGGCCAGAATTGCCAACTGCTCTCTCTTAGCCCTTTGGAACAGATGAACAACACATTTGGCTGTTTCCTTCAAATGCCCAATTCCGAAGGATCAGAATACCTGTACAACCTTGTCCCAAGCCAGCAGAACAGACTGTCTGAGTCTGATGGATACGCTTTGTCTGGTCACATTGAGCCAACAACTACCATCCCGCCAATACCAAATGACCCCTCACGAGAGGCTTCTTTGTTCTGTTGCCAAAATATCGCAAATCACCACGCCATGATCAGGTCTGCTGGGGCGCCCTGCAACTACAACTTGATCGGTCCCACTTCCGCTGTACTACCTTCGGCACATTCTATCACCTCCGGAGCTGCTTCGTTAGAAACCAACCTGTCGAGTGAGGTTAGCAGAGCCGCAGACTCATTCCAATCGGCGTCAGACAAATATTTTAACTCATTTTCCTTGCCTGCCCACGAGATCCAGTTGCCAGAGGCGTTGCCAGTCTTCTGTCCAGCATCGGCTAGTTATGAGTCCGGCTGTATGGACAAAACAGCGCTTATCCTTCCTTTCCCTCCGGATGTTGGTATCAGGCCCGATTGTGCAGCACCGGGAAAGGCTTTTACGACGTCCAATTATTGGTCAGCCTTAAGCTCCTCCACCGTCGTCCCTTGTCCCCTCACGTATCCATGGCCTTCGAGTGTCAATTCGTTGACCTACAATGACTGCAAGAATCTTTTTCCATTGGATGAAGTCAAACCAGCCTGTGAGACAAATCTGTTGGCAAATCATAAATCTGAAGAAGAATTCAAGGCGTTCCAAGAAACTTTGAGACAGTCCACCTGTCAAGGAGCAGCCAAAGGGTTTGATCAATTAATGGCCGATCATTTTGCCGTGACGACTGTTGCCTCGGCAGTCTGTGACGAGAATCTCGAACTTTTTTCAGACCAATTCGCTGAACCACAGTCCAATAGAGAGCTGGACACCTCGAATGGAGTATCATCTCCGTTTTCTGGCTGCCCAATCGGTGCCAGACCAGCCGAGCTTGGCTTGAGCCCGGCAGCAAGGTCCGTCTCCCTATCCTGCTCTTCGGGAGCCGATAGTCTAAGTTCACATATCAACTCTCTTGAAGACATTATGGCCCAATTGGCCGTCAATACTAAAGCCTTTTCCCCACTCGAAACAGTTCGTTGAAACCCACTGCAAGTCTTTCAAAAAGCATAGACAGTCCGAAGGTGGCAGAAGCTTATAGCTCAAAATAATAGAGACAGATTTTTGTAATCTATTCTTGGATGTTGTGCTCACTTGAGAGAGAGCACTTCTTTGCCCTTGGAAAGAGGCAGGTATCTGTAAAAAGTGTTTACATTTTCCATCTTGCTTTGCAACCCAAATCGAGTAATTGAGCAATGCCTTAATCGGCAAAAGTTTATTGTAAAAATTAACCCCTTCTTCATGCTGAAGCTCTTAGTCTATGCGTTCGATCCAAATCAGATTGTCTACTTCTCTAGAAGTTATTGAGCCTTTTAGAGAAGGCCTTATTCTTCACCTTCTGAGGTATAGAAGTTTTGCAGAAGTCAGATTCTCCGTAATTGTAGCCGTGCCCCCTATGAACTTCAACAAAAAAGGCACTTCTCTTTCTACTCTCGCATGGACTTTTGCAGCAACAAAGTTGAATATTTCAACTATTTTTATTTTATTTTTGGCATAAATGCATTTATTTTTGCGCTCTAGCTATAACAAGCGACGCAAGCCCAGCAGAAGAGAAAAATATATCTCTACGCAAATCCCATATAAATTATTTTTCTCTTAATGGCATACTTTTATTTCAAAAGATGCCATCAGTTTTGCTTCTGGATTTGGCTCTTGTTCCTTTCGCTGTTTGCTATGTGTAATGTGAGGCAACCAACTGAGGACTTACTGCAAATTAATAGTTTGTTTTTTAGTCAAGTCAAAATGTCTGGTACCTCCTCTTCTGCCTTCTGCAAGAAGACCCACTGGCCAATTATATATTTTTGCCTTTTCTTTAGTCAATCAAGGAGTTAAACTAGCCATTGACATGCTTGTGCATTAGGCATTATTTAGATTTATAATGCTGCTAAATTAGACTATTGCTTGGCGTTGAAGGTCGAGTAACTTTCTATTAAATGTACTAGAAAAGATATATAGGTTTCACATAGCCCTTGTGTCCTCTAGACAACCATACTGTGACATTAAATCTTCTCTTGGTGGCCAAGAAAGCAGCGCTAATCCATGTTGGAGTACTGTTCATTTCGTTTGAGGAGAAGATTAGAAGAGATTCGTAAGTTGGCCCACTGGAAGCTCTAGGAGATTGCCTTGAAGCTGTGATTAAAAATTTGTTCCTGCGACCCCAATGAATAATTGTCAAGCTCTCGTCCGTCATGTGATGGACGTCCTCAGAGCAGGACAGCATGCTTTACGATAGTTCACCAAGCCTAAAGACAAAAAAGTTGTCTGACTGCAATTATGTCTACTTAGAATTATTGTGGATAATAAGAGAAGTCTGATGCATAAAACATCATGATTTATGTGTAACCAGTTAAAGCAAATCTACGAGACATGAAAGGCTTCAGACAAGAATTCCTATGAATTCGTTACTTTAGTCGGTGAGCAGGAAATAGAAAGTGAGGATTTGTTGGTTAGCTTTGATGTTGAGTCTACGTACACTAACATCCCTATATATGATGCCATACAGGCCCTGCGATCCACACTAGCCCAACATGTGGAGATTTTAATAAGCACGAAGTTAAGTAAAGGGTCAATAACGATACTGACCAACCTAGCGATGTACTGTACATCCCATAGGTTTAGCCATGGGATTGTGTTTATCATCAAGTTTAGCAAATAATTGCATGGCTCAATTTGAGGAAAGTTTAATTCAGGAGGCACTTTTAGTTCCTAAATTATCATTTCGCGATATGAACAATACTTTGCTATTTGGCAACATTGAAAAGAAAACCTGGAGAACTTTATTGGTTTGTTGAGCAGGATGGATGGAAAGACGAAATTCACCATCGAGTTAGAAAAAGAAGGTGGTTTGCCTTTTCTTGATGTTCTAGTTAGCAAAGAGGGGACCAGATTAGGTCGAGATGTGTATAGGAAACCCACAAATGCAGGTTTCCTTTTGAATTTATTCTCCAACCATACTTATGGGGTTGAAGTAGGAGTTTTGGAGTGTATAATAATAAGGAGATGTATTCACCCTATTTCGTCTAAGGCGATAAAGGACTGGTAGTAGAAATTTCCCACAATGATATGAGTTGAGCTGACGTTTCCATTGAATTTCATATAGCCTTGCTTTCCCAAAAGTTATTCTCATCCAGAGGGGACTGCAGTTTCGACCTCGCATCGATCTTATCAACACCCTCAGCTTCATCGGCACTCCCACCAAAAGAATATGATATAGCAAAGAGGCCTGACCTTCTTTGAAATTCACTTAATCCCTGTGACTCAAGGGTACTCGTTGCAGTGTAGCCGAGTGGTTAACGTGTCAAGTTTCCATCCTGAACTGTCGCGGTTCGACTCCCGCTGAGGGTGTTGATAAGACCGATGCGAGGTCGAAACTG